AAAAAAAAAAAATAAGTCTATGAAGCATAGCTCTTTTGTGAAGACTCAGGGTTACCAGGAAGTGTGTGATCTCATCCCCCACCTCACCTTCTTGATGATCCGAGGAAAGCCATGTATGCCCAACCTGCTAGCCAGTGAATCACATGCTGCCAACCAGACGCTGAAAGCCTACAAATGACAATTTCAGAGGTGTGTACACGCATGGACTGCGTCAATGCCCTGAAGCCTCTCTGATGGGGTGCACGCAAATGCAGCCAGAACACAAAGATCCTGCTGCTTCTGAGACCCAGTATGCACACATAGGTGGAACATCAGCTAGGCACTGAGCTCCTACTACTTCTGCAGCTCCACACTCCCCAGATCAGGACCCTGCACACGCTTCAGTCCTTTGAACAAGGAAGCAACAATGACTGGATATTAACACATATGACCACATCACCTGCAATCCAATCCAGCAAGAAAGCTCAAAGATAAAGTAAACTTAGAAAATGGAAAATAGGGAACTAGACACATCAATCTGTAAACAACTTCATTAAAAAAGAGAGAATAAACCAGATAATTTCAGATTTTCCAAATGGAGAGGAAGCCAATAAAATATTAATATCCAGTACACTATTTAAACTTAGGCATGCTAAAGTAAATTACAGTTTAACCACAAATAAAATTAATAAATCTTCTATCCAAAAGAAGAAAATCACAAGAATCAGTAAACAAAAAATCAGTAACAACAGACACAAAAAATGGAAATCTGATAACAAATTGACTTAGCTGAGAAAAATATACAGAACAAACAAATAATCAAAACTGCATTAAAAAACACAAAAGAATAATAGCAACAAATTCAAACTTAACAATAATTACACTGCATGCAAATGGATTAAAGGTACCAGTCAAGAGATAGAGAAAAGAGACCTTCTATCCATTGATTTTTATTTGTCCTGTGAACTTGTCATCCCTTTCGACATCTATTGTTTCTGCACCTCATCAATTGTTTCTTTTGTTTTTAAATCGTTTCATTAGGGGCTCATACGAATCTTATCACAATCCATACATACATCAGATGTGTGAAGCTCACTTATACATTCATTGCTCTCATCATTCTCAAAACATTTGCTCTCCACTTAAGCCCCCGGCATCAGGTCCTCATTTTACCCCTCTCTCCCCGCTCCCACCCCCCCTCATGATCCCTTGATAATTTAATTATAAATTATTATTTTTGTCATATCTTGCCCTGTCTGACGTCTCCCTTCACCCACTTTTCTGTTGTCCGTCCCCCAGGGAGGTCACATATAGATCCTTGTAATCGATTCCCTCTTTCCAACCCACTCTCCCTCTACCCGCCTAGTAACGTCCCTCACACCACTGGTCCTGAAGGGATCATCTGCATTTGATTCCCTGTGTTTCCAGTTCCTATCTGTACCAGTGTACATCCTCTGGTCTAGCCAGTCTTGCAAGGTAGAATTCTGATCATGAGAGTGAGGGGGAGAGGGGGAGGGAGGAAGCATTTAGGAACTAGAAGAAAGTTGTGCTTTTCATTGTTGCTACTTCGCACCCTGTCTGGCTCATCTCCTCCCCGAAACCCCTCTGCAAGGGGATCTCCAGTGGCCTACAAATGGGCGTTGGGTCTCCACTCCCCACTCCCCTCATCATTCACTATGGTAAGATTTTTTGTTCTGATGATGCCTTATACCTGATCCCTTCAACACCTCAAAGCCCACATGGAAGAAGCACATCAATTATTTTTCTGAGTTAATAAAAATCCTAAATACCCTACTAATCTCTAACACCTTATCTTTCTAATAGAGATAGAACCTGTACAGCTAAAAATTTACTCTCCCCAGTTCAAACATCTATCTGTGCTTTCTACAGGATAAAACTGATTGCCCAGGCCTGATATTCCAAAACCCAAGGGTAGTCTCCATCATTCTCAAGTTTACCATGTATTTAATCATTTCCTCTCCTAACTGTTCTCTTATGATGCAATAATAATTTCTTCTATTTTTTTAGCTTTCTCTCTCCTGCCCCCCCATTCAGCACCTCCCCCCCTCACAGACACACCTTAATCCACATAATAGTTATGCTACTGTTTAGTTCAATTCAAAGCTAGGTGCATTTTCCGGCTTTTTTCGAGAACCTTAGGAAAAAAGTATTCACATTTCACAATATATTCCTTTATCATTTGTTTTGGTCACAACTATTCATCCATACTTCTGTTTCTACCATGAAATGTAAACATTCCTTGACGGTGGTGGGCATCACCTACTCATTTTTATGTCTACATTTCTGGTACTCAAAGATATTCCATAAATATGCATAGTTGTTTCTTTGTGAGTTATGTACATTATACATTTTTATTAATGTAAGAGTGGCTTTGGACCTTTGCTAATATCCTGTTTTTGAAAAGGAGTTTATTTCTAGGATCCTTCTTCTGAGCTCATGTTAATGAAAGGGGAATGTTGACTAAATTCATAAAAACAGCATCTGTGACTTTGGGGGAAAGCATTAAGGCATATTATCTCAGCCAGACTTCTCTCCCACAAGTAGGCCTCTTGACTACAGATGGAGCTTAATTGCTCCTTAAATACATCTAACACTTATGCTTCTACAATATTGCCCACTAGCCATATAGCACTTCTGTGGTAGTTTACTTACCAAATTCATCAATTTTACTATGAATTCTTATTCATATTCAAGAGTCAGGACAGAAAAAAATCATAAAATCAGTTGCTTGTTCATAAAAGCCATAAGCAAGTGCTAAGTTCAGCACTTTGCCTTTTCAGGAGTGAGTTGAAATAATAAGGTCTATAATGAAAATTCAGTTTAAGAATAGAGCAACCTGTATAAAATTACAGACACATATATCCATCTGGAGACTTTACTGAGGCCCCCTCCTGTCTAGGGAAAATATTTCATTATGTGTTCCATTGTACCAAGGACAGACTGGCCCTTTCCAGACACTTACCCTCTGACAGCGTGAATAAGTCTCAATGATGGATAAGCAGTTCGCACTTTCAGTTTATTCTTAAGGATTAATGCATTAACCCACTCCACGTGCTTCTCTCCTCCTTTGACCATGAACGCAGGGATCCAAAGGACACTGTCATTCAGCATGGAGAGTCTATGCACAAATTTTTCTCTGTCGCTCTCGTTCCGAAAGCCTCCGAAGGCTCTTTGTACAACGGATGGATTCATGGTAATAAAATCAGATTTCGTTCCCACGTCTGCAGCAAACTCAACCACAGGGGCTAAATTACACCTAAAGAGGAAAACAACACAAACAAGCAACAAAAAAAGAAAAAGAAACATGAAACCTTTACTCATAAGACTATCTGAAAAGAAGAATGGAACACAAATAAGAAAGATATTTCACACCAGGTCGGGGATGCAGGTGTGAAAAGATAATCTGCCTAGAAAAATTACATTTCACTAAGTGCTCACACATTCAGAAATGTTGTTTTCTATCGGACTGTGTACCTTTGTATGGGGTTCAATGTGTCACTTCTATTAATCCAATCCGTTGACTCAGAATACTTTCAGTTGTATCAACAAAATACATGCCTGGAATTCCTAATAGGTGAATTCATAAGGGTTCTGCTGTCATATAGTCCTCTTCCACTGCTGTCATGTCAACTCTGACTCATAGAGACCCTCTATAGAAATTTCCAGGCTGTACATTCTTATGGGCACAGGTAACTGTAACTTTCTCCCAAGGACTGACGAGTGGGTTTGAACCACTGACCTTCCATCTACTAGACAATGCATACTGGCCATACATTTCACTAGGGCTCCTTGGTTACGCAGTCAGGAATATAAATCACATGCAATTCTCATGTGAGTAAAATGCTTCACGCCAGAGTTTCTAATCTATACCACTTGTCAAGCTTAAGTCACTTGGACAACTTTATAAATCTATGTAACTGAAGAAGAATTTCTTGTATTCTGAGGCTCAGGGAAAGGAGCAATTCCTTTTGGCATTTTCCACAAATGTACCTGTAATACCTGTGTAAATGGAAACACAATGTAAAAAATAAACACAATAAAAAGCAGGGACATCACATTTAATGTGTGTTTTTGAGATCTTGGGCAATGTGAAAAATCCTTTACGCTCCTTTTGAGGATCCCTAACACAGAGTATGTGTCTTCCTTATAGGTCATGTGCCTGTTAGGTCTGAGCAAAACTAACACCATAATAACTTTTTTTTAAATCATTTTATTGGAGGCTCCTACAGCTCTTATCACAATCCATACAAGCATCCATGTCAATCACATTTGTACATAAGTTGCCCATTTCTTCTTGAGCCTTTGGTATCAGACAA